GAGAAAGGTAAGGAAATATCATCAGTGAGATGTTGGCTCATGTTAATATTTTGTGAAGGAATCATAATTACAGAATGATGCATGACTTTCAGTCTTTTTTTTTAATGTTGAGGCTTTTATTTGGTGTTTACTTGTATTTTTCCCTGTGAGTTTATTTTCTGCAGCTCCAGCTGCAAGTCTTTTGGTGATTTTGTTCAACAGGAGAGAAATACAGACTGAAATTTTTGCCCATTACTCCCAGCAAAATTAGCTCAAATTTAATCATATACAGTAAATTTTAATACTTAGGGCACAGAATATGAGTAGGTCTGTTCTTGATATTAGCACCTTTATTCATAGTCTGTAATTGCATGTTTTTAATGGAACCTGCGTCTGTTTTGCTTTGCACATGAAAACTGCTGTGTGAATGAAAACGTCTACAAATTAAACATCGTTTTTCTTTCTTTCTTTATGACCACGTTGAAGTTATCCAGCCTTCCAGCTGCTGGAATTTTTCAGCTGGAGGTCATCTTGGCTCCTGATGGTAAAACTCTGCCTCTCTATGGCAAATATGCCCAATTTCAACCACTGCAATAAAACCAATGTCATTTTTCTACTTTGACAATTTAGTTTTAATTTCTTGGCTTACTTTTAGTGATAATCATCTTACAGTTTCTTTGTTTTGTATTTATTGTTTGCATTTTATGTAGTGATTGACAAAATTTGTGTGGTTAAGTCATTTTAATAACCATGATTATATAGCCTTCTTTTTAGAAAGACAACTTGAGCATTATCCAGGCAGAAAAAACAGGTTTTTGGCTAATTCTGGTGCATCTACAGAAATCTTAATTGATGTGCATTAAATTAGAATAACTGGAGTTTCTTTTGTGTCTTAGGAGACACATGGAAGTATGAGTCAAAATAAATAAATAAGCCATGATTCAATCAAATTACCCATCATGGCAACATCTTGGTTGTCACTGTAACCTTCATAAAATCCATCTTTGTTCCTTACTTGCTTGTAATAGCTGCATGACCATTTAAAAACTTTTTTTTACATGACTCAGCTAAACACATTATGGTTAAAGTGGCAACGTCAGGATGTCTGGCATTAATCCTAATTTATTTCAGAAATGTACTTTTCTTTGAGGTTACTAAAGGACGTTCAATTTGTTTTAAAAATGTTAACTGTTTCTGTAAGACTGCACTTAGATTCATCAAACAGAATTGGGTTTGTGCTGCATGGTTCACCAACAAGACACACTGATCTGTTAAATACGAGGTATTTGAAATCTGAGACAATTTTGGTCACTAAATTGGTTCATTAAATCGGTTCATTAAATTGGTTCATTAAATCGGTTTGATTTCCACCATTGAGCAAAGACAAAATCAACAGAAGGTCAAGGCTTTGGGAATGTCATTCTAGAAACTTAATTTTAGCATCTTGCATCAAATATTAAATAAATTTTAATGTGTTTGGGATCTTTATCCTACTTAACCTTATTATTCCATAGCAACCAATCAACTCACAGCATAATGCAACCACCAGCTTCCTTGACTGTTTCTCCAATGTGCACTGGTATTGTAGTAGCTTCCAATTCATTTCCAGTTCCAGTTACTCATTACTGGGGTGTTATTTAACAATCTTGCGATTTCCCTTTAATCTGAGAAGTCAGTTTGAGTCTTTAGTCATCCGTATTTGTATTCACATCTGAATTGATTATCTTGGACTCTCCTGTAATGGCTCCAAATACCTTTCTTAACTTCTAAGCTCTCTTTAGATCTCAGTTAAGCACAGCCTTATTTATCAAATTACAGTCCTCCAACTGCAGTCCTTTGTAATCTCTAAAAAAATGTTAACTATCAGTGCAACTTGTCAAAAAGTAGCTGAGTGAATATTTATGTGGATTATAGAAAACATGCTGTATAACCATACCCCCAACAAAATATAACTATTAATAAATTATGAAGTATATTAATATCATAGAAATGCTTACAATGAAAAACTAAAAAGTCTGATCAAAACATAAAAATAAAATAAGCTCACATTTAGATCCTGCTCAATCAAAACTCCTTCCAAACTCCATTGATGATTCTGGCATGAATGTTTCCCAGTGTAAGCCCCTCCTGCAGACATCGTCCAAACATTTCAGTTTAACAAAATTAGACTCTGGGCTGAGAGAAAACTCAGCACAAATCTGCAAAAGCCACATAAGCTGGTTTTCCTCTTCTCAACAGAGAGTAGTGATGGTGATGCCAACTCCCTATTGACTGCACTTCCAGAAAACTAACAGAAAACTTGTTCTGGGTACCAACTACAGATAAGTTATATCACACCCTGGGAAACTGCCTTATTTTCAACATCTGAAAGGGCCACCAACAAGCAGTTGGATAAAATGATAAAATCTGTTATTTTCTGCCTTTGCAGCATAACACTTTAAAAATAATACCCTGAAATAGACCAGAATTATAACAATAATAAATTACACAAATAAAAGTTATGTTATTGACAGTGAAAGCACTCCAACTCCACAAAGCATCTAAAGTTAAATAACCATCACAATTACAAAACTTTCCTACGATGTGGCAGAGATTATTTGACCACCTGTCAAATAATATTTAGACACTGGAACTAAAAAAAGCACTGGAAGAATGTTCTGGTCTAAAGTAACTCACACTATAATCCCTTTTTTTTCATGTTAAAAGATACAAATATTATTTTCAATATGGTCTTAAAAATGTCTGACATCTACAAGGGGTGCAAATACAAATAAAACGAGCTCAAACAGTAAATTGGCTGCATTTTAGTTTTAAAATAATCCACCAATGTTTCTGATTGAACTCCACTTATCAAGTTAATTGTCAACATAAATATAGCTTTCAATTCGACAATAAAACAAATCCTGTTGTGACTAAAGAATTTACTGTTAAAATGAAATTATGTTGCGATCTGGAAAACTGATCTTCAAAATGCAAACAATCCTAGAGCCTGAAAACTAAACGTATTTGTTCATTTTTCTGACCAACACATCACACTGAAGGCACATGCAGTTTAAACCAATCGATTTTTCTTTTCAATTATCCTAAAGGGTAATTTGATATTCAGTGAGAAAAGATCCAGTAATATCCACACCTTCTAGTTGTTAAAATAGTTTTAAATGTAAAGCTTCAGATCTTTTAGTTAGAAGCAACAGGATCTATTAAGAGAAGAAAATCAGAAAATCAACAGAAACTGCACTGATGCTGCATTTGACTTATTGTGAGGACCACTAACACGGTAAGCAGGAAGTTCTGCTGGTTCTCCTTCACACTGTGTGAAAATCAACGCCAGCTTTCAGGCCTTCAGGCTGCTGCTGCTACAGCTACAGGAGAGAGAAGGACGGCGGCCATGATGGCTCTCAGTCAGTAGATCTATTTCAAAATGATGAGATCAGCTCAGACGAAGCCACTCTGTGTTCAAATCAAGTTCAGATCTGAAAAAGCTGCCAAAAAAAGAGGATAAAAGTCCATCAGTTTTAAACAGCTGCACATCTTTGACCCGTCAGCTCTCCTTTCTCTGTCTCCGACCTTCATATTGCAGAAGTTTTCCTTCATCTGCCGATCAATGAGTTCCCCTTCACAACACCGCTGACCATCTGGTCATCCATAGACGTTCTCTGTTCACTAAAACAAAGTCGACCTTAACTTGCAGAATGAGGTTTTGTGTGTCTGGATCATTTCGGTAAAACCTTCTTCCACCATCCTGCAGAGGAAAACATTCAGAGCTTCTGGGTGGGGGAGTTTCTGATCACTAATTAGCTGAAACATACATGTAAATTTAGCATAACTCAGTTATTCAGAGAATCAAACGTCTCTCGGTAACTGTGCAATATTGAGTCAGTTAAATCTGTTACAAAGCGTTGACTTTGCCTTGATGAAAATCCTCAGTGAGTCTTGTTTACATTTTTGCTAAGTTTTATTTTTCTCATATTTTAATTTTTTCAAATCACATCAAATATGTTGGGGTATCTGGAAGATTTTTTATTTTACAAGGATTATTTTTAAAACATCTAGCTCTATTTGATTTTCACTAGTTTGTATGTTGAGGAATGTATTTAAGTTGTAAGGGAAGTAAGCAGAAAGCCGAAAAATGTTGTCATTTTCTTGCAATTAAATGATATAAACCTCTAAGTTTGAGCAGACGAAAATCTTTTCCCCCTTCTATTCGGTTCAGATGTTGCATCTGTTGCATCGGCGGCTCGTTTTCCAGCTCAGTGACGAAGGAAAAAGCCGTTCATCCAAATCTCAACACAAAACCTTCCCCACATGTGCTTGCATGCTGCTGCCGCTGTTTGTTTGGAATTCCTCGGATAAATGTGGGAAAACTCAGCCGAGCCGAAACAAATCCCAGTTTTCAGTTTAATCCTTGTAAAATCAAATGGGAATTTTCACACGACTTCACTTGTCTCTGGAATAAAAATCTCTAGAAAAAGTGGAAGAATACTTTAATGCTTAACCTCCTCCCCTTCATTCCTCAGCACAGTCCTGCTTGTGTTTACGAGCCTCAGAGACTCTGCTGCAGAATCTCACCTCGTCCAGGATTATTTGTATTTTCTGCTGCTGTGAGGAACTTTTACAGTCTGGAACGTTGGTAACGGAAAGAAGAAAGAGACCTAAAACATGAAGAATGTTCTGATAGAAAAAAAAATATGCAGCAGGTTAAAGATATTCTGTGTACATTAGGTGGGGGCTCCACAAAATGCAATCATAGATAAATCTATTTTAGGAGAGTTTTAATCAATGCTTTTGGTCAGAAAGACCAAAAAAAATAAATACTTTATCAGGTTTGAAGTAAATTTCAGGGCGTGATTATTTTTTGGGCTGCATTTTTTTTTATCTTACTGGACTTCCATTTGCAGATCTGTTTCTGTATTTCCTTAGAACTGAAACACCCGCTGCTTTGAAATGTTACATTTCAAATTAAATGACAGAAACACATGAGAAAAAACAAATGTTGCTGGAAAAATAACCAACAAAATGACTTATATTGCGCTTATATTTTTTATTCAGATTTAACTTAGTTCTTTTTTCATATTTGATTTAATGCTGAATGTTTGACAAACATATCCACCTGCAAACACGTTGTTTTGAATCAGGTTTTAGAGCTTTAACCTGCATCTTGTTTCTCTTGCAAAACAATGAAAAGTAATTTTCTATTCCAGTTTGGCTCATTTTGCCTTGAGATTGATTTGTACCTCACAGAGGTTTTTATTTATCTGGTTTCATATTTACATAAAATTATATTTATTCACACCTTTCACAGATACAATAAGACACTCATATCCAGTTACAAAGATGCTCTTTTGCCAACACTTGAAACCAAGTTTTAATTTCTGAAAACTGATGTGCAGGAATTTATTTTTGCAAAATTTTTCATGACAAAAATTATGATATTTTACACTCTAACTGAGAGATTAAATAAGATTTATTATAATAATCATATTTACAAGACCAGATAAATAAAAGAAAATACGTTTTTACACCCTGAAACACAAATCAGCTTCAGATGAGCTTCCTTTCTGCTGCTGTTCCTGTAAATTTAATTTACATCTTTTCGGTTTGGAGATAAAAACACATTTTTGTTCCAGCATGTTGGTCATTTTAATTTGCTCAGTGAAATTTGTCAGAAACCCAAACAGGTTCCGCTTTAAAAATGGATCATGTATCATTTTGCCTTCAGTAAAATCCAAATTCAAACTTCTGATTTCTACAGTTTCGGCCAGAGGCCCAGCGCTGTGAGCGCGCATCGTGTGCGCGCAGGGCGCGGTCTGCCGCTGACATTTTAATCATGTCACTTTATTTCTAATTAATTACACACGAGAGCGTGCACGTGCACCAACAATTAACATCCACAGACGGTCACGTGGTGCACCGTGAGTGCGCGCGCGCGTTTTGAGCTACGACATAAAAAGAGTTTTAAATTAAACATAAATAAGCGTCACAGAGACAATAACAAAAACGATATGTACACCTGTGCAACATTACATCACGCGCGTCCCCGTCTCCATCAGCTGTCAGAGTCCGCGTCGCTTTTAGTCCCGTCCGTTTTCTCCGCTTTTTTGCTCCATTTCTGAGAGTTCTCCGACTCCTCCGAGGAGGAGCGCTTCTGCCGCCTCCACTTGGCGCGACGGTTCTTGAACCACACCTGCAGGACACGGGAGGCAAGGAGTGAGAAAACTCTGATATGCAAATGGCTTCCCACCATGATTTATAAATAATCACTGTGATGGCAAAAATGCAGATTTTAATATATTGATTTTCTTAACGAAATAAAATTAAATAATCTTATTTGTACCCGTTTTATGTGTGTTTTATTATTATTATTATTATTATTATTATTATTATTATTATTATTATTATTATTATTATTATTATTATTATCTTTGCTTTGTTCACACTTTCATTTCCACGGGTAAATATTGTTAACACACTGGGTCTCAATTTCAAGAGACAAAGTTTAGACAAGGAAAGCTAAAATTAATAAGCTTTATTACTGAATCTTACTATTGTACAAATAGCCAAATTTAATAGTTTTCAAAAGGTTATAATTTTATAAAAAGGAATCAAATAAGTGGAGCAGTGATTCAAATAATTTGAACGGAAATATACATGAATTAAGGCTATAAAACCAAATAATAATAATAATAATAATAATAATAATAATAATATAATAATAATAATAATAATAATAATAATAATAAACCACGTTAATTAAACGTCGCTTTAAATTGCAAATGCAAATATATGTATATACTTATAATATCATTACATAATAATGATATTATATATAATGTTCCGCTAATATACTACTATATTTGCGATATCCACCAATATCTTTCTGCAGATATTTATGTTGCTGTGTTTAGTTTTTTTTACATTCTGTATTTCCATATTATTTAATTCGATAACTAAATTTGTGTTTAAAACAATTTATTTTAATTTAATAATAATAATAATAATAATAATAATAATAATAATAATAATAATAATAATAATAATAAATGAGAAGAGATAAACGTCTTCCTGATTTCAATCAATATTTAAAAAAGGAAAGAAAACGTTTGTCACCTCGACCTTCTCCTCCCGCAGGTGAACTTTCCGGGCCAGCTGCTCCCGCGTCCCCACGTCCGGGTACTTGGTCTCCTGGAAGAGGCCCTCAAGAGCCTCTAGCTGCTCGTCGGTGAAGATGGTTCGATGCCTGCGCTTTCTGCGGCAGTGCAGCTGGTTGAGGAGCTGCAGCTCGGTCCGCGACAGGCTGCCCATGTTCATGTAGGACATCATGTGATGAGGAACCGGGGACAGGAGCACCGAGGCCGGGCTGTCGTAGCCTGTGAGACGGGAACAAACTGAAGCGTGTGAGGCGGAGAAATGAGGATATTTCGATTCATTTGCTATCTCAACATGCATAGTCTATGTTTGTCTTGTTTTGTTCATCTTTAAGTTTTTCTGCAGTTTAAAAACTTTTTTCTGATCTAACACAAACAACCGAAAACATGACGAAGTGTTCAGCAGAGATCACATAAAATGTGGTATTTTGGTTTAAGAAATCAAAAAAAGCGGCATTTTTTGCGCATTTAACAAGTTCTTGTCTTATAACACTTTTAAAGTTGTAAAAAGATCAACATAATTGTGAAGATCAGGGGCGATGTTCAGATTTGCTTTAAATGATCATTTTAAAATGTCTTATTTGTGTCACGTGAAAATAGTAATTACATTTTTTAAGAAACAGATTTAATTTAAGCTGTGAATTGAGAACCCTGGGGCTACCCTACCTGTGGGGAAGCAGGGGCACTGCTGCGGACTGAGGCCGGGCACGGCCCCGCAGCAAGGCGGACCTCCTCCGGGCCCCTGGACCTGCAGCTGTCCGTAGTAGTAGCCGTTATATCCGATCCTTGCCCCGCTCAAAGCGTGGACCCCCGGCGGGGACGGTCCGCGGGCAGCCGAATACAGTCCGCTGTAGTCGGTGTAGATGGTGTCCGTGAGGCCGGCGGGAAGCACCACGGGGCCGCTCCGGTGCAGCAGCAGCGGCTCCTTACAGTTCGGCCGTCCGGACAGGATGCTGTCGATGCTAAACATCCCGGCGGGCATCACGCGGCTGCGCGGAGGAGGAAAAACTGGATCAAACTGGGAATCAAAACTCCTGCGGACGCGGAAAGAAAGTTCAGGCTGAAGGCGACATGGTGACGCGGCTGCGCTCTTCTCTCCTCTG